AAAATAAAGCTTTAATTTTAATGCAGAATTCTTTATTTTAGTCCTTTAAATCATAACAAAATTCTGTTGAAGATATTTGTGGGCAGCTAATACAATGAAGGTGATTTAGTTATCCCTAACACACTGTTCAGTAAAAACACAAAACAGTCACAGAAACTGACTGCTGTTTTCTTTAAAAAGTGGGGGACCAAACCAAGAAGATAATAAATGCAGTTAAGTGTCAAGGATGTTGGGAAACCCACACTACCTGCTCAAGGCACATGTGATTCTAGCTGGAAACTTCTACTATGGAATACATAAACCACTAAAAACTTCACTTTCCATTGTTGTATTCTCAGTTGTAAAGTCTGGAATTAGTTTTGGAAAACATCTTTAGAAAGTATGGTAAAAGATAAGTAGAGCAGCTAACTAGTAAACTGGTCCAAAGATACTACTTCAGGTTTTTTATGTGTGGCTTGAGTTAGAAATTTTCTAAATGCTGTAAATAAGTCCTCATATATAGCTCATTAATTATTTCACAGGTGTATTTAACTGCTGGAAATATTATTTACAATTATGTATAGAAAGCAATGTGCTACAAAGGAGTTGCATTATGAGGCCTCCCAAGAAGTCCCAGCCATTTCAGGCGGCTCTCCATGAACTCTCTTTCAAAAGCCACAGATTTAAACCCAAGTGTTCTGTGTATTTCAGAAGTATAACTATTATCTAAAAATTGTGCGTTCACATGGAACAAGTAAATCTCTATCTTGAAGTGACGCAAAGATAAACCACTGTCCAGTCATTTAGATAGATTAGTCATCCTCAGGTCTAGATCCTTAAAAGATCTTTAGATAGAAAATCCCCATGGAAATTAGAAGAGGTTACCCATCAAAATAAAAAGGAAAACCTGAACTGTGGAGACAACAGGTCTTCAGTGAAATTATTTTAATACTATTACTATGGCTTGCTAATTTATAATATTAATACTAGTGTATTTATCTCTAATACTAGAGCATACCATCAAGCCCATGATTTTGAAGGATTGCCATCGCACAAAAACTTACTCTTATAAATCCACAGTATTTAGACTTCAGCTGTCAAAACTGTGGTCACCACAATATCCTGTGGGCACACACAACCACGAGAGACAGAGCAGGGGAAGGGAAATTAAGTACTACTGTGAAAAAGAAACATACAGCAGAGATTTAGGTTTCAGGCAATTAACAATGATTATTTCAAAATTCCAGGCATGCATTTTACGCAACGCTTGTGAAAAATTGACTTTACAGAGAAAAAGAAAGATTACCACTAAAATGACATTAGCATTAATTCAATTACCTTAGAAATAACGTATGAAAGAGGAAAATATAATATCCAACATATATGTTTAATTCATTTAATAATAGAAAACCAAACCAAGTAAGATTTCGTACTATGTCATTTAATTTTTCTGCATTTCGACTGATTGCAATAAAGGGAGTGTTGTAAAAATGCACATTTTGCATCAGAAATAAAAGGAAAAAAAAACCCTTTCTTCCTGGAGTAGACAGAGGATACCTCTCTTCACTCCTCCCCACACAAAATTATTTAAAGTCCATTTATTTTCTATTCTGGTCAAGAAGTTAATCCTTCGACACTCTGGAGAAGACAGATAAATTCCAGTTTCAGCTGTAGAAAAGCACTGAAGATCAGTAATTAGAAACTAATCTCTCCTATATGAATGGTGCATGGTCTATCAAGAACTTGACCACTTCCACCCATTCCACACACACGGAGCTATCTAGAGAGATTCATTCTAGACAGGTGGATTAAGTAGACATCTACATACACACTCCAAGACTATACAATTTTTGGTTTGTTGTATGAAGGATTGTCAAGTACAGTTACGAATACTGCAATCTGCAACTAAAATATCAAGACATACCTACAGTAACAGTGCCACCCAAAAATAATCAGTGGAATCTCTTATATTCTTTTTTAATTTTAGAAAGCGTACTCTTAAAAAAGAGGGTAATTACTTCTGCCACGTATCATACAGAAATTTTAGCACCTTGCAGTAAGTTTTTATGTGCACAAGTAATTTACCATTAGATCTCAGACTGGACCAAATTTCTAATTGTCTGCCACACCACTCAATTTCATGCTATGCAAGTAAAAACAAAACCAACTTACTGTGTAGGGGCCATTTCAAATTCAGCAGCTGTATTAAATACAATAGCAACGAGCATTCAAAGTTTCTAGCAGACAACAGGAGCAGTAGCAATCTTTGGTTTATTTTTACAGTTTAAAAAAAAAAAAAAATTAAATCTGATCTCCTTGGTTCCATGCAGGTTAACTACTGAGCCACTCCTATCTGAAATGTGTACTACAAACAAATCTGTCTGCTTATGATTTATTCTGCCCTATTACTAAAGACAGCATAAACAAATGTTCATAGTCGATAACTCTCCACAATGATTTTCTCCCCATTCCTCAATCCATTGCTTACATTTTCCTTAACTTTTTATTCTATAAATGGAACTCTTTTTTTTTTTCCCCTGGTGTTATCCTACTAAAAACTAAAATTACAATCCATGATTACCGTAAAAAGATAGACCAGAAAAGGCTATTCAACATCATCATTTAGAATTATTTAATTGCTAGATTCACATTCTTTTCCAAATCCAAATCTATCGTAATTGCATGATTAGAGGTATTAAGGAAAGGGCATGCAGACTTTCCACCAAACAGCTACCAGCAGCAAGAAACAGAACAGGCACTGCAGCTCATTGGTGTATTCTGAGATACCAATTCTTATTTTACTGTATCCAAGTAGTTATTTCACTGAACCAGGATATAAAGGAAAATTATCAAGAAAACAGAGCTACTCTGAAAAGGATATTATCTGAAACAAAAGACAGTGGGATATTATAGAGGGAACACTAGAACTGAAAGAATTAAGTGTAGTTTGTGAAGCAGCAAGTGCAAAGAGCAGCCTGCTCAGATCAAATTAAGTTTGAGCCTAATACACTGGAGAAACTGTTCAGAAACAGTTCATCTGTACGAAACATGACCCCTGTAAAGCTGCCAAAATCAGTGAGAGCATACAAGTGCTAATCACGCAAGCTAAAATGGCTCAAACTGCTTCGACTTGCATGCCTTAACATAGATGACTGCATATCCTAAATTATAAGTTAACATAAAGAATCGTTTCCTTTACCTGTATTTCTGTATGCAATCCATACACCTCCTCGTCAGACACAAGCAAGTACACCCCCCACTCCTGTACTTGGAAATCTGAATACAGCTGACATGCAGCACTCCTCCTTCCATACCTCACCCCCTCAAGCAGGGCTTTTGGAGAGGCAGGGTGAGCATTTTAAAACAGAAAGAATTCAGTAATCACTTCACTGGTATGTTAGGAAGTATACTGTATAAAAACCATCACCAGGGCATACTCATCAAGGGAAGTTACTAGTGACTAGAACGAAAAGGCAGAAGAAAGAAAGGTTGTCTAAGACAGTGTGGAATAACACCGCACAGTCTAACACTCTCCAGAGTCATCAGTACCTAAAATACAGAGTTTGGCTTCTTAATTTAGGAAAAATGCATGCATTTGGAGGTCGACTACAACTATTTTGTTAAAATATATAGCTGTTGCTTTAAATATACTGCCATACAAGCTCTAAATATAAAGCATACTTTAGAACAGGGGGGTGGGAAGAGGTAGAGGAAAAGCGAGTGTTTTCTTGCTTCAGTGAGTGCCACACTAACACATTTGGAATGCTAGTTATTTTACTAACAAGCATTCTTTATTAAACAATACTCTCTAATGATCTATGGAAGTGTTTTCCCTATCATGACATCCACAACCCACAGAAAGGTAGAGTTCACAGAAAATACTGTTTTCTAAAAGCAAACCCCATGTCTTTCAAAATAAAGAAGGAGCTGAATCAGAACAAAAGATGTCCACAGAAAATAACATCCACAAAGTTGTCTGCTAATCCTAGGAATACAGAAATGAAGGGACAAAAAACCGACGATGTTTCCTTTTCCTGACACCCTGATAACATTCCCTCGTTCAATTGGTCGTGTGCCCTTTTCAAGCCGTGCATTCCTCTTTCCCTTCGCACCAGGGCGGACCGTATGCGTCGAAGGAGCACGGAGCAAAGAAGACTGAGGCAGCAGGAAGAATCGTTATTTAACGCGGTAAAGGGAAACCCGCTACCCGCAGCCGCACAACCCACCCCCCTGCATTCCACGTCCGAGATCCCCCGGAGGACACGGGTGTCCGGGACACGGCTCCCTCCGGGAGCGATGGCTGTCTTGTGACGGCGAGGGCTGTGCTATCATCGAGCCAGCGCACATGAACCGGGGCGCTACCCCCGCCGCATTGCCCCGCTTTCCTCAACCCACAAAACGGCGGCTGCGAAAACGACACCAGCGAAACCCACCCCCGGTGAGGTACTAAGAAAAATTAAAATAATAACAGTAAGAAAAGGCCAGCCCGAGAAACGCAAGCAGCGGCGCCCGCCTCGTCGCGTACACAC